TAGAGCTACTAGAGATACAGGCTGACTCGTCAGCCATTTTGAATCTAAGCTTTAGGGTTGCAATTTAGGTGTGGAGCGGCAACTTTGGCTCTTTAGCGCTGTCCGCTAAAATTTAACATTCTAGAGAATCCGAATTTCAGCTTTTTTCTGCACTCCTATAAAGATGTGTGGGCTTTTTCCCCTTCTTTTGTCTGCAGTACAGATTCTTTCTCGTATTTTTTTTTTTTTTTAAATTGCCAAATTTCTCGTATGATTCAAGTTATTTTAAAAGTTTCTAAAACATTTTCACATATCATATTTCAAATTTGTATTTTTAGTTAAAAAAATTTGCTTTTTATGCTTTCTTTTGAATTCCTTTATTGAATTTTCAATTTTTTCTTTTAAATACACGCATAATGTTATTTATCTCAAAATGTATTTTTTGACAAGAGCTTTCCCTCAACCACATTCTTAATATGGTTGAGGGAAATCCCTCAACCTCCATTAATTTAGGATAAGGTTTAATCTTTAATTTTTGTTTTTTATTTTTAATATGTTATTTGAATTTTGCTCACATGGAATCAAACGTCTATTACTGTAGCAAATTTGTTAAAAATGTTATTTTGTGTGTGTTTCCAGAAAAAGCTGCTAAACACTTTATGATTTTAAATACTGATTCAAGATATACACCTTTAAATTATAATGCTTTTAGAATGAAGTGCAGAATGCTATAAAAATTACTTCAATGCTCAGATGACTGTGGGATTCATAGATTTAATAGAGTAAAAAATTCCATTAAATTTTTTTTTTTTTTGTTCTTTATTTAGCTATAAACAATATTAAAATAATACACACACAAAAATAAAAATAAAAATAATACCTTTACATACAGAATTTACAGATACTATTTACTTATAAGTTTATTTGTTGTTGATGGTTACTTTTTATTATACTTGGAAAAATTATACTTACATACATATGCTCTTAATATTACACGTATCTGAATATTTAAATGATAATTCCATAACATAATAAGATTCAATCTATATCACAGCAAAGACAATACTTAAATCACAGTTCTTTTTATTAATTAATTTGCATAAGTAAAAACATAAAAATATTATTTAGCTTCAAATCTATAAAATAAGTCCTCTAGTAACAAACATATGACAAACACATATAGTGAAAATAAAGATAAATAAATAAAAATGTTTTGCTTTTTGGTCTAATGTAGTGCAATTCAGTCTATTATATTCAAATTTTATTAAAACATACTGCAGTAATTGAATTTTTTCCATTATACATCAAACAGCTTTATATAGAATTTGGGGCTAGCAGAGAACCATGATATGGCTGCCCAAACCAGAACAGAACCCCCGCCATGTTTCACTCTTGGCAACAAACAGTCTGTATTATAGGCTTGAGATGGCGTTCTCCAGACGTAAACTCGGCTAGAAGTGGGAAACAATGTGAAAGAAGACTCGTCAGACCATATTACTCGCTTCCACTGCTCTATAGTCCAGGCTTTATGACTTAAACACCACCTTTTCCTGTAACGGGCATTAGCGTCACTGATGAGTGGCTTCTCAATTGCAGCACGGCCAGCAATTCCCTGTTTATGAAGCTCCCTTCTAATTGTTTTGGTACTCACAGGGTTCGGTAACACAACATTCATTTCAGCAGTAACTTTTGCAGCTGTGGTCTTCTTATTTTTCGTCACAATTGCCCTTAATGATCGTCTGTCACGATCACTCAGGACACACTTTCGTCCGCCCTGTGATTTAGCAGATGATGTTTTTCCGCTTTTCAAATATGCGGAATAAATCTTCGATACAGTACCTCTTGAAACACTAAACACCTCGGCTACCTTGCTTACGGAAGCACCTACCATACGTGCTCCAACAATTTGCCCACGTTCGAAGTCTGTTAACTCTGACATAATGCAATGACAACCTCACATAACAGTACTCCGACAACAACTGAACTGTTTAGCACATTTACGAAGTTGTATAGGTGGCGTCAGTAGTCAAAAACGCCAGCGCCACCTACATTTCATTAAAATCAATCTTTCTTTTCAAACATGCATTTCACAAGGTGTTTCCATATTTTTGTCCATCCACTGTATCTCATTGATATATTATAAATATAGCTTAAACATGTTTTATGTGCATACCCAAAGGGGGTGGGAAGTAAGCCTTGATTCAAAATCTGTTTTAAAGCAATAAGTAAATAAATAAAATACACTGGTTCTATTAGAATGTCAAAAAATACTGTTATGTATTCTATAAACAAATCCAAATTATCACATCATACTATATAACCCTGGTACAAAAGAAGAAATGTCTGATTAGGAACATACTCTATTTATTTGGTAAAAAAGAAGAGTAAAACATATGCAACATCCCATTATGAAAAATCCTGCAAGCCATTACAATACTATAAGACATTGATTAGTAAGGTAAACATCAGTTGATCATTCTTTCACAACAGCAATAAATGTTTCATTTAAAATTCCTAATAACATGCCAAAACAGATTCACAATTGATGCCTCATTTAAGGTCACACAAAAGTAAATCCGATTTAGCTGACTATGAGATCTTCTATTGTAGAGGACTTTCTAAGGAGAACTGGCTTGTATTCACATTACACATGGGGAAAAACCACAAAAAAAACCAACCATGCAGCCAGCCTGTTCGGAAACAGAAGATGGAACTCCCAGCATTCAGTAACTTTAACCATTCAGCTGTTGGTGGGCCTAATTATTATTCGAAGAGACAAACAGCAATTTTTCAGTGACAACTACTCTACTTTTTTACAGACAGAACTGAACAGCAAAAACTTCTTAAACTCTTGATTAGATTCTAGTTTACTTTCTTCCTTTTAAAAGCAGGAGATGCAAAACTTTGCCGCTGCTGCCTTTTATTTTGAAGAAGCTTCTTGAGACCAATTCCACGGGCAGTCAAATAATATTTTATTATCTTTGTTTTGATATTGCAACAGGAGGGAATATTTACCTCGCCTGCTTTCTTACAAATCATATTAACAAATTCCACATCCATAGTTACATTTCCATGTATTATTTCGTCTCGAAAATTTTGAATTATTTTTTCACACAGAAGGCACAATTTAAAAATTTCTGGAGAAGGACATTTAAGCCCACCTAAATTTGCAAAATTAATTATGTACTGCTTATTTTCATCAATGGAAGGAGTATTTTGCTCACAAACTAAGAGAAACTGTGAGCATGAATTACAAGCATTTTTCAAAACAGAATTTATTGCAGCTCCTGCAATATAACAGACGTTATTTTCCTCACTAAGGGTGAGATTCTGTAGAGATACATCAGAAACTTCTGGTATGGTAACAGGCTCTAAAGCTTTTTTCTCCTCCTCAGAAATTCAAATTCATCTTTCGCATAGTTTAATAAGTAAATATCTGAATCAGTAGCATAACTGGAGTTCTTAATGTCAGATATAAACTGAGATAAACAGATAAGCTTTAATGCTTTCACAGCTTGCAAAGCACTTGGCCTCAAACCAGCTTTTCTGCGTATCTGAGAAAATACATTTTCTAGAGCATCTTGTGTCAATCTGCTCGTCAAAATAAACTGAAAATCATTCAGAAAACATGCCTCTGCTAACTGTATGGCTGATAAAGTAGAAAGAATCAAACCAGTATGTAATGGTTTCCACCCTTTACCAATTTCTATAAGCTGTATAACATTAATAAATTCAAAAAGTAACTCAATTTTTTTGCTTTTATTTGTCACAGAAATTGAGTTCTTTCTACATCTAGAGGATAGCATTTGAAACCACTGACATATAAATCTTATCCACCATGCTGTTGTAAGAGCATTAGGGCTTATCTCTTTTAAAGCTACTGCCTTCTCCAATCCCACAGCTGTTTTAATTGGAAAAAAACCTCACAGCAGAAGCAACATTCATTTTATCAAAATGTGAGGGGAAGAGGTCTTCTTTGCTGAGATGATGCATAGTTCTCAAACCACAATTTTGGTTTGTTTCAGTAATCCAGATATCTTTTATAAATCCTGCAGATACATGCAAAGTAACCAAATTTTCTTTATTGCAAACATAACTGGGCAGTTTTTTACTATGATTAAGAGTTGCAGACCAGAGATTTTTTAAAAGATGTGGCACATCTGCAAATACATAAATAATTTTGCCCTTAATTTCAGTAGTGAAATTATTTCTTTGGTTTCGAGAAACAGATATTCCCAAAGAATTCCACAGGCTTCTATTTACTGCTGCCATATCGCTAACAATACCAACAACATTAAATCCAACAGAATTGACAGCTTCGATAACATTGACAACAAGTTGTTTGAGCTGGCATCCTGTTACCTGTCCAGTTATCTCATGGGCAACCACTTGCTTCCATTTCAGCTTCAACCTCTTAGTAAAATAACTAAATAGTGATTTCCTGCACCCTTTTGATTTCCTAATGTACATTTACCAATAAATTTACGTTTTGAAATATCAAAATCAGGATTGCCAGAAATCTCCATTTCATCCAATGATAAAATACAGTCTTTATCACTAGCATTCATTTTTTCTCCTTTAATTTTCAAAAGTTCAATCATGTCACTGATGACTCCAAAATTCATTTCAAGACCTTGAAGTCTTTTATTTAAAGTGCTGTATGAAGGCACAGGAAAACCTATTCTGTGCAAGTAATTATAACCATGCTTGCCCAAGGCAAATCTAACTTTGAGGCCTTTTATTATTCCCTCGTTAGACCATTTTGCAATGCTTCTACGAGGAATTTTCAACATTGCTATTTGTTCATCTGAAAGAAATGTTTTCACTCCTTTCAGCAATTCCTCATGCTGTACTTGAAGGTCATGAAGTTGAATTTCAGTGCTATGCCATTTTTTTAAAACATTAATTTCATTTTTTTTTGGTTGCTGTAAGTTCTTTCAGTAATATTTTGTTCTGGCATTGCAGAAGCGAGATCAATTCAGTCTGCTGTTTTATAAAATTCCTTAAAAGAACATCCTGGAATAAAGAAAAAATCTATATGAATAATCATCAAAGAAGGGGGGGGAACACAACAAACAAACAAAAAGAGATCTGAAAGGTTTCAGATTTTAAATTACACCCAAAGGGGCCTTTTTTTAACATTTTGTGTTTTACCTTTATTTATTAAATATCAAGTTTTTCACACTTAAACTATAAAATTCAGTTCAACAGCAATATTGCAAGATAATTTTAAAATGAGCATATCTTCAGAATTCCCGATTCATTGTCTCACACGCTGGAGATAAAAGTGTCTTTTCTGTACAACATTGCCATTGCTCGCTTTGAAATCCTCAAGTTTGTTAATCAAAAATTCGTTAAAGTTTTACAACATATAAAATATATATTAAAACAAATTCCGAATTTCAAATTCGGTCTTCCAGATGTCCATATTCACAGTAGAATTAAGTCATTCAAAATTTGATGGCTCTAGGTACCGTTGTTTTATCAGAATGCGAAAACATACATGCATTTATGCAGATTCTTCACTATATAATTTCTTTAAATATAGTACAGGGTGATAATATTTGGTGGCAACAATTTGAAAAGTGATGCAGCCGTTTATAGTGTTTCAATACAAAACGAAAACAATAGTCCTTCAGGGACAAAGCCCCTTTGGATTAAATGTCCAAACTTAAACAGATAATAAATCCACAAAATAAAAATGCAAGTTCCAGGTCTCTTTTCCTATACTGTGGTGGGTTTTTAAATTTGACTCTATTGTTTTCAGCATTTTCTAGATTATTTTTGTTTTATTTTCTAATATTTAAAATTTATTTCACTTAAAAATAGATTTTTAAAATTTATTTCCAGCTTTTCAAGGGATCGATCGATTCATCTCTCACAATTATATAACACAAATTATCAACTTACAAATCAACTTCAATATCACAATGATGAAATGAAATTAAATTTAAAATTAAATTAAAATTAATTACAATTGATGAAATTTTAAAATTAATTACAATTTGGTTGCAAGATGAATCTAAAGGTTGTTTTTGCAAACAAAACTGAAATTTACATAGAGAATTTGCAACTATTGATGAAATTAATTACATTCCTTTTACCAAAAAATTACTTTATAGAACATTTTAAATGCATATAAAGAAGCAATTTAATTATACATTAGTTATCAACTTACATCAGAGCCTTCACAAATAGATGGTATTTCATTGCAAAATGAGGCTAAAGGCTGTTCTTGCAAACAAACAAACCTGAAATGTACACAAAGAATTTGTAAATGCTGATGAAATTAATTACATTCCTTTTACCCCCCCCCAAAAAAAAGTTAATAGAAACGTTTTGTATAAGCAAGCAATTTAATAATACACTAATTATCTACTTACATGAGATCCTTCACAAATAGATGGCATTTTATCACAAGATGAAGTTGAAGCTTGTTCTTGCAAACAAACCTGAAATATATATATAAGAAATTTAGAAATACAGATAATATAAACTACATTCATTTTAAGAAATAATTATTTTACATAACATTTTATAATTCATAAATAGATAATAAATTGTTAACACTCAAAATTCAAAAATAATTCCATAGCACAACAGCCAGATATAGTACAGCTGTTTAGCAAACCATAAGACAAACAATTTCATATTTCAGAAATTGTATAAAAATTCATTAATATATGTAAAACATATGACATTTAATAGCTGCTCAAATGAAAACATAGAATAGATTCTTTACTAGCAGCTGTTATTTAATCAGAAGGTAATGCTAAATGTTGTTGCAAACACACCTGAGATGTACTGTAATGTACACATTTGCAACCACTGGTGAAATGAAATAAAGTGCATGATTATGAAGATGGAAACATTTAAAAAAAACATAGTACAGTTTACGAATAGATGTTAAAAAACTATTAAAATTTTTAGAAGTGCAAAATGGCAATTTACATCAGATACTTCGGCAGCAAAATTTATTTCTCCAAAATATGAAGCTGAAGGTTGTGGCAAATGAACCTAAAAGAAATTATAATATATGAAATATGTGGAAGTGAAAGAAATTATAAACTCTGATCGGATAAAAATAAATACAAATAATCATTACCATTTTCAAAAGTAACTTCAACTTATAAAAAAGCATAAAATACATTGGACTGTTCATAGCATTCATACTTCTTAAACATAAGTAAATATTACGTTAATATATTTTTAAATTTTAGAAACAGTGTTAATACTTTTTAGAAAAAGTTTATAATACTAAATATTTAATAACTGTTCAAATGAAGACTTACAACAGATGGTTCAGCAACAGAAATCGCTTCAGTTGATAAAGGTAAAACTGTGCAGCAAGCCACCCTGAAGATGCAAAAATTATGAAACACATATAAGTAAGGATACCTGAAAATGCTGATAAATAAAATATACTTAATGTAATTTTAATAGTAAATGATATAAATATTCCTAACAAGTTTTGTAAATCTTTAAACAAAAATAACAACATTCAGAAAAGACATATAAGGCAGTAAAATATACATTTAAATCAATGTATTATTACTACATTACCATATTCTTATTAAAGTTATTAATTTCAGTATTATTTCTTTTACTTACTCTATGCGTATTCCTCTCTATTTATCTAGAATTTAAAATTAAGCAAAAAAAGCAACTTTAGTTTAATCCAGATTTTGACTTAAACTCTTTCAACTTTGAAGGCAATCAGATACAAGTTTCTCCCTTTCAGGAGCAAGTTTGAAGAAAACAGATCCACGCATGATTGTCCTCGAAAAACTATAAAAACTTCATCAAATTGAGGTTTTATGCTTAATTTTCAATATATGATTATAATAACAAAGTACATACTTAATTATATATATAACAACAGCAAATTTTAATTTTTTAATCTAATCTTAGGGACTGTAATTACAGCTTTATCACATAATGCCTTAATTTCAATATTTTGATTCTTTTATAAAGCAATTTAGTCCATTTGTAATAAAAACATATTTTTTTATGAAAAACCATAAAAATAAAAAACACATACATTACAAAAATTGGATGTAACTGAACGGTGCTTTGGTAAACCAATGCCTTTTAGACGCTGTGGGGGATTAGGCACAGTGAAAAGAGTTGGCACAGCATTGGGCTTGAGTTTTTTACGCCCATCTTGCCTAGAGCATTCAAATTGATTTCTTCAAAATGTACCTGCATATTTAACAAAAGCATGCATGAAATTTAACATTAAAATCAAAAGCACTAGTATTAATTACAGTTACATATATTATAATTAATTTAAGAATGTAATTTTCTGATAAATTTAAATTTTTTTATGAAAATAGAACAAAATTTTTAAAAAGTAATCATGTTTGTAAAACTACTTAAAACATATTTCCTGCTCACACACTAAAAATAAATTTAAAGTACCTATAGTTAAAAATACAAACATTAAGATTTACTACTACAATAAAGGATAATAATGGGATCAAAACGATTCATCGAATATTTAAATTAATTTTTAACTTCTTAAAAATGTCTAAAAATACAGAATATATTTATCTTACTATAAAGAAAAAACAAAATCATTTATTATTTGGATCATACCATCCAGTTTTTAACATTGGCGCCAACTATCCGATTTGGCGACAATACATCAGAATCAAAACATAGAATGCTACTTTAAATCACCAATCGTACAGTAAAATTAAAGAAAAGAAAAAGGCACATCACATTTCTAACTGAGCACAAAGTTTACATGAAATGTATGATACAAATTTTACAAACGGTATAAAACTTTTCACGATAACAAAAGAAACAACATGAAACAACGATATTTTACTGCACAAACACCATACACATTCCGCAGTTGATTTTGTTTTACTTATAAAATCAGTTGATCGTCAATAAGTGACAGTTAAATGAAAATAAATATTTTAAAGTACCAAGAAGAGTAATTTTTCTAACATTCTATGGAAAAATACGAAGCTGAACTTACCTCACAAAGATACGCTCCTGGGCCGGGATCCATTGATCTCGACGAGAATTAACTATCCATTTTCTTCGTCTTTCTTCATTTCTAGGGAAACGAAACATCCTAAAGTTATTTTTAGACTGATTCGAACAATTTGGTGCAGCACAACCACCCATTTTTCTGAAAATTAGGTCGGAATCGATCCACAAATATGTCAAGAAATCAGTGCTAATCCAATAGCGAATACCAACAAGTTAGCTTCAAAATGGATGATGATTCAGCTCTTCTTTATAGTAGCCTTAGATTGGAGCAGGCCTGTAGATATCTATTGCCTGGCAGATTATAGTTGGCGGTGTCATCGCAAAGAGTCAAGAATAAAGGATCTTTAGAGATTCTTGTGTATAAATATAAAAAGGTACGGGAAGTGCCGACTCTGTGTGGACTAGCCTTGATTATTCTGGTGTAGAGTAAGCAGTACCGATTTTGATTCTGATGTTCGTTGCTAAAAAGAGGCTATTAAACGAAAAATGTATCTGAAAATGAGAGTGATAGTTTGTAAAAAAGCCCGTGCCATACCGTCAAAACTTTCGCGATAGCGAACATTAGCCCCGGTCGGAAGCTGCAGTTGTAGCTTCATGAAATGTGGTAACTCTAAGAAGTGGTGCAAGTTCATGCTGATTGAAAACCGAATTGTTCTTCGGGAGAAAATAATGGAAGGGTGATTTTGCTGTGGAAAAGTAGGATTTCTCGTAACTTAGACAGTAGCTAAGTAACTGATCGGATGTAGTCTGTGGAGAGTTGGATTTTTGTGGGGGTTAGCAAAACATTATTATGCTTGCTTCCAGTTTAGGAAAAGGAGCAAATTGATAATGTGATTATCTTAGTTAGGCAGGTACGAAGTGATCGAAGATGTGCGTGTTTGGCGAGATGCCATCGTGCCCTGGGGCTTTCTTCGTTTGTAGGCCTGATTGTGTGTCACGATTGTTGGGGTAGTCAGAAGTGAGTTTACTGAGCAGGGGTATTAAGGAATTATGACCACCGGTGACCCGTTCAATATGGTTATTGTCTACGGATGGATTAGAGTGATGATCTTCCAATATCCGCAAAGATTTAGCTATTCTTCGTAATCAAGTCCACTAAGTCCATGGATAGTGAATAGGGTTTATAAGGTTTCTGAATTGCGGAAAGTCAAATAGGGAATTGGCTCATATCTATTATTTAAATTGGTCCATTTTGTTTTTGACGTTCTGATTCTTCGTTGATTCTTTTGCATAGAGGTAGTCGTTTTGAGTTTGGATCCCTGTGGTTGCCATCTTTCGTATCGGTTTCTCTTTAATCCCTTTTTACGCGGCAGGTGGGCGGAAAGGCTGTTCATAAAAAGTATTGGTGGCTCCTTTAGCAGTATTGAGCGTTGGAAATTGTGAGACTTGTGTTTTAATCTTCTGTATGTGATGCATGGGTTCCTTCATGATTTTTCAAATTCCAAATTTGTCAATTGTAACTCTATCTTCTTCAGTAGGAGAGTATTTATTATGGGATTCAAATACAATAGGGTTTGGTCGGAAGAAGGCGAAATTACAGAGATATTGCCTCGTAGTAATGTTATTGGAAGTTTAGAATAGGATGAATAATTCTTGTGCGCTGGATTATTTGGTGGATTAATATTCGAATTTGAGTTTTTTATGTTCTATTCATTCTATTGTGGTACTTCGAAGTGGTGCTCGATTAGACTCAGCGTGTTTATGCCTTTACAATGTGATATGCCACGCCTCTGTGTTCTCACGATCCGTACGGTAGGTGTTATAATTAGCAAAGTACTGAGTGCTGGTTTAAGGTGAGTCTCTTGTTGAGTACGTCAGGTTCAATTTCAATAATGAGGTGGATAATTCATCTTTTTTATGGCAAAGACCGTTAGCGTTCAAGAGAGGATTTTTATGTTGCATCTGTTCTGAATTTACTAGCATAAAGATGATTTCCTACTTTTCATGAATTCGATACTGCGATTATTTATCAAGAGGGATTTCTTGGTTTTAATGTTTTCGAGTCTTGTATCACTATGTCCAGATTGTTTTTAGCGAAGAGAAGTCAAGAGGTCTGACAGGAGGATTTTGCGGTGATGGTAGTTTCTTCTGTTAGATTCGTTTGAATGGAGGTTTCAGCGATTTTTCGTTACTGTTGATGTCAGCGGAGGAAAGTCTTGTCTTCTGTAGTCAGGATTGGTGCTGGTGGAGGACTGGGTGGAACTGAACTGTTTGTTTTTTCGTCTGGCGGGCAATTTGAGAA